CGTGATTTCTATGCGTTTTACCTTACGAGATGGTTGCATTTGACTGTATGTGCTCTCAATGAATGAAATGTGATAAAGGAGAGCAGAGTTATCTAAGGGCACCATCGCGGTCTGCAAAAATGACTTGCAATCCCGAGTATTGCCCGCCGTCCCAACAAAGAGCAACTGAGCGGCTCTCCGTCAGAGGGCAGCTAGCAAGTGAGGCGGTCCAACTGAGCGGGCGTTAGAACTAGAACTTTGAGCGGCTGTAGCTCGCTTCTCGCTCACTGTGGAGTTGCGAGAGTGGGACAGCATCTAGCTTGGGGGCTGAACTACCTGCACAAGGAAGGACGACCATGGACTACTCGAGCGCGGGGGCTGTCTTCAAAGCCCGCAAAGTGGGATGTAGGGCAAGAAATCGGCAGTCACTGAGATGCATTCATTCCTGTTGTTCATAGATGGATTACGGTGCTTTATCCAGAAAGCCTCGAGAGTTTTCCTAGCACCAACATCATTTTCGTGAGCCAGTATCGTGCACTTAACATCAAAATCACAGCCGCCATGATTTTCCCTCCTATGCTTGCCGAGCGGTGCAACTAAACTTTCGCGTCTTTTGCTAGCCAGATTGGTTACCATATCTGAACATTCAGATAAAGGTATCAAATGGACAGTACAATGTGAAGTGGTATAGAAAAGAGAGCTCCAAGAACATTATCGTTCATGCAACGTCGGCACACCCCAGAGCTGTCAAACGTGCAGTGCTACGAAACATGTTCAAAACTGCCGTAGGGGTTTGCACCGGCAACGAGGAGCGAGAAGAATCCAGGAGATTAGCCACCCGAATAGCTAATCTCAACGGTTACACAGCCTGGCAGCAGCGGCGCACGCGAAGCACACCGAGAGTTTTCCCACACAGAGCTGAAAATAAAATACGTTTTCAGCTACCGTTCATATCGGACCACTTTACCGCAGTTATACAGCAGTGCATCCGTAGGGCTGATCTGGCCAACGACGTTCTTTTAGTAAATAAACCAAAAGACAATATCAAACACCAGTTGGTCAGAAATCGCCTCTATGACCGGACGTGCACCATGGAAAACTGCGTGGTCTGTCCATATGGAAAAGTGGGTGACTGTACACAATGGGCAGTAATTTACCAGATACAGTGTTTGACCTGTGGTGCATTATATATCGGTGAAACTGGGAGGCAATTATGTATACGCGTAAAAGAACACCTGGCTAGCAAAAGACGCGAAAGTTTAGTTGCACCGCTCGGCAAGCATAGGAGGGAAAATCATGGCGGCTGTGATTTTGATATCAAGTGTACGATACTGGCTCGCGAAAATGATGTTGGTGCTAGGAAAACTCTCGAGGCTTTCTGGATAAAGCACCGTAATCCATCTATGAACAACAGGAATGAATGCATCTCAGTGACTGCCGATTTCTGCATCTCAGTGACTGCCGATTTCTTGCCCTACATCCCACTTTGCGGGCTTTAACAGTGAGATCGTAATGCACTGCACGTACGCACTTTATCACACTATGAAGTGCATAGCAGTGAGTCTCATTTGCTCCATTGTGTGACAAAAGTAGAGCAGTTCGGCGCTGGTGGAAGTGACGAGGTAACTTATTGCTGGAGTTTCCTTCGTTCCTTTAGTTCCTTGGTCTGATTTGCAACTAGTTAAGAGCGGGCCCATGTTGAATAGGATAGATAGTTTCCAAAGTTTCGGTATGCTTCCAGGCCTTTGAAAACGACGAGATTGTCGAAACGTCAGGCGTAAATAAAGTATTCCACCATACAAACCTGTTTGGCATAAGAAAGAAGTTATTAGAACTATAAGTACCAAATGCCCAGGTTACAAGAAAGGCGAACATGGAGTCTTTGATGACTTTTTTTGCAGTTGTAACAAAACTCAATGATATCATGTTCTATATAATGATTCTAATGTTCAGAGAGTTATTCTTCGGCCATCTTCGTCATTACTCTCTCCACCTCCTCTTGAGAAGCAATTCCTCATCTCACCTCCGTGTTCTCCACCAGTTGGCTGGTCTCAAACAAAAGTTTGTTTCCAGCTTCTTTCTACTAATTTTATGATTTGTTGCACTTATTGTAATTACGTACTTGTAGGAAATGGCACCAGTTATTTGTAATTTCGATCTGATGGCACGACTAGCATCCTTTGCTCTTGAGGACAAGTAAGTGCAGTTCCATAGATTTTACAACGGTGGAATGTTGGCATTCTTGCAGATACTGTCGTAGTTTTGAACACGCCAGGAGTCTTAGAAAATAACTGTTTCAAATGTTTGCTATTGTGCGCAACTAATCCCGTTTATCTCACCTAATTCCAAGGCATTTCTTTACGAGCAATCCATAACAAGGAAAGGAAGGTCGCGTTTCAGGTCCACGGGGCCCGGAGAAATTTTTTGTTGTGAATTCTTGCCTTTCTACTACCTTTCACAGACGTTGTGACTGTGAGTGAAGCGTAAATTTTTCCTCACTGGAATGAAGAATGAATGTATGGTTCTATCGCAGAAGGCCTGTGAGCCTGATTTTTATGCAAGGGTCATGTTCAGAGAACGCATGGTACCATAAAATAGAGAAATGGAAGGAATTGAAGACAGCTCTGATGTTCGCGCGCCCTCTCTGGATATCATAGCCCTCCCTATGAGGATGCAGTATGTACTAGTTTTGCATCTCAAAAAGGCGAGAGGATAGCGCCGTTCGCTAGTGAAGAGTCGGCCGCCCCGCCCCGCCCACCTAGCATAGGGTTCTATATAGGGCATTTTCCATGATTTTTTTTCTGCTTTTTTTCTTCACTACTGGATCACGTATTATATGAGCTCCATAACTCATTATTCTTGAAAGCGGGCTCAGCCTTCAAAGGCTAAGCCAAAGCAGTTATGGCAGCCAGGTGGGCGGGGCGGCATCCTCTTCACAAGCGGGTGGCGCCATCCTCTCGTATTTTTGAGCTGCGAAATTAGTACATCCTCCACCCTTGTCGACAAAGCTACGATATCTAAGGAGGGCGTAGGAACATCAAATGAACGCGGGCGCTGCCTTCAACATCGAGAAATGTATGGATTAACATCACACCAAAGGTTTGGACACCCATCTTAGTGGGCCTGTTGTTTTCTTTTTTTTAGGTTTCGTATTTTGAATTTCATCTTTCAAGAAGACAGTTTTTCAATTTAAATTTTGATAGATAAATGAATACGGCACGCATTTCCTCCAACGGTTAAAGCAGCTTTCGAAATTGATTTTAATGCTTCGATTTTTCATTTGAGACGAGGGAAAACACCATATTGTTGAAAACTGTCAATTCAGATATGAAGTGTACAACGGCGACGAAAGTAAACCGGCAATTGTTGTACATCCATGCGAGACTCCTTTGGACGCCCCGTCCAGCATAGAAATGCCGCGCACACCGAGGCCATCGTCTCCTGTACAATAAATGTCAGGATCGATCGTATTTTACAACGTCTCACCTCTTCATAACTAATGCACATGTCATTGAGGAAGACTTCTTTGTTACTTCCACCAGTCGTTGGCCCTAGTCAACTGTATGTCCATGTTTTATCAATATATGTTTGTTGCCTACCTATCACACTTCCAAATAGTTCTGTTGCTGGTACTCGAAATATAATGAACTAGAAAATCCTGTAAATTTGACATTATATACTTTTTTGAAGTTTCACCTAGTTGTTATTGTGAAGTATTCCATCGTTCCTCCTACCTCCACGTTTAGATCGGTCAAGGGTCAATGATGCACATCAGTTTTCCTTGTGCAAATATACAGACGTTAGACTAAGCAACCTTCTTCAGCTTTAATTCTGCTTCCATTTTCTCTCGTTATATTCGAGAAGCAGCGTAACGACTATACCTTAATTATTGTGTTTCGGTGGGATTTTACCGCCTCACTTATGTTAGCGGGAAAATATACGAATTCTCATCATTTATTTATCACATGGTGACTGAAAAAGCTTTATTGTGTCACATTTGATGAATGGCAGATGGAATAAATACTATGTTCTCTTGGGCGAATATATCACAGATTATAAAACGATATCCTTCTCGACCCGCACCCTGTCTTCTCTATAAAACAAATAAATGCTAAGCTTAAGCCTAAAAAATAAACTGTCTAAAACCAGAAATTCTTTACAACCAACAAAAAAAAGAACTGGCCGTTAGCTAAATTGCAAGAACATGAGGTACAAAATCAAGATTGAGATTAGACCATGAAGGGGCCATCCTTTGCGAAGACTGTGACTCTCGAAGACGAAACGAATCGCATCATGAATCGCTTCAATTCCGCGTCCCATTTTTGCTTGTTTTTACTGAAATTTCGAACTTTACAGCAACGGGCAATGGGAATAATGCACTCATGGGTCCTTCTGACGCATGGGAAAAAATTCGCAAAACACGGCCCCCCCCCAGAAAAAGAAAAACTGGTACGACCCTACTGCCCTATCCCACAACCCCCTAAATTGTCCAACATTCGACCATTTTTTTTTTCGAAAGTTCTCCGCTTTTTCCAAAGAGATTGGCGTTGATTTGAAGTAATGTAACGCAGCGGGGCCGTATGTTAAAGTAGTGACATTCAGGCCTTCTGACAGTGGGAAAAAATTCTGCAAAACACGCCCCCCCCAAGAAAAAAAAAACTCTCTTTGGTACGACCCCTTCCCTATCCCACAATCCCCTAAACTGTCCAACATTCGGTCATTTTTTTATTTTTTTTTTAATTCTCCGCTTTTTCTGAAGAGATTGCCGTTCAGCGGGGGGGGGGGGAGGGAGGGGGAGGGCGGAAGGGGGAGGAAGGGGAGGGGCGAGTACCACACCGTTCAGTGCCACATGAAATAAAAAAATCGAGAAAAGTCAACGAAAGGAAGCATTCTTCTTGAAGGAAACTACGACCCTCCCTTCGGCGATCAAATACCCCTCCGCTGGGGGTCCCCATCGTACCACTTGCTCTGACTGCATTATAGCAGCACTGTATAATGAACCTGCCTGGTTTTATCATTACCTTCTTAAGCCTGCTCAATATATAGATTTGATGGCTCATTTCCGCCACACACCCTGCTTTATTCCCCTGTCTTCAGCATACGAGTTTTGCGGGTATGGCCGTTACAGGGGCTTATTTCAGCTGCACTTCGCACGAGAAAATACCTGGCAGCTGAAACGAAGTGTTCGCTCCAAGTACAAACCGGTGGAGACAGAGACACGGCGAAACAGCAGTCGCGCGGACGAGAGGGAATGAGATGGAAAGGAGTTTCACTGCTATTGTCGATGGTCGCGCAATTTCGTCGCATGCGGCCCACGGCGCGGTGCAAGTGACATCTACCATTTTTTGCGCAGAACTGCAGATGAATCGGTGGGCTACATCACTGCTCGCCATTTAGGAGTAATCTCTCAGTGCATACGATCAACAGTACAAAACTAAAAGCTCCTGAGATCGCATTCTCGGATTTTTCGACTCTCTATGATTACAGAAAACTCAGAATTACCTGTACAAGTTCAGGTAAATAGCTGCGAGTATAACTAGGCCTGCCCATACATAGTCCACAGTGAATGGTTTCGAAAACAGAATGAACGAGAGCGTGATAGTAAGAGCTTTACGCAGTGTTGTGACCGTAACCGCAACAAGCGCTCCGCACACCTGAATTGTGTAGTCTCGGTAAGGGATCTACAAACGTTGGCAGAAGTGGTTTAGTCGAACAGAATATACTTTTATGAGGGTAAGCACAACGTTCACGCCAAGGTATCCAAAAAGTGCAAAGATCAGAGAGTAACCGTATGTTTTCCATGGATTCTGAAAGCATTAACTAGTGGTAACGAGGAAAAAAAAAGCAAACTCGTTAAAGAACCTACATCGAGAAAAAATTGAAAGGCGCTGAAAAGTTCTCCAGAAACGATCGTGTACACAAACAAGTACACAGAACCTATGGAATAGGAATACAAGACCTGAAGCGAGACAGATTTAGGAATGTTGCGATTGTGAAGCAAGTGTTACTTACCATTTCGTTGCTAGATCCACCATATTTCTTCATGTTTTTCTCTTGAATATTGCCTATTACGGCGTCTGCAAGAAGAGCGCCGGAAATCATCACATATCCTCTGGGATCAAAATTAGGAGATACATTGCTGTCGGCAAGTGTGAACAATTACCCCCCCCCCCCCCTCCCCCCCCCCCCCCCCCCCCCCCCCCCCCCCCCCCCCCCCATAATGAGTCCTGAAGTTTCACATATGTGAATGGAACTTCTGCATGATAAAAATTCGCTCTAGTAAGGCTGTGTCCATACTTTGCGGCAGGGTCAATCAGCGAGCAATGGCGTCCACCAGTGTCAGCGACTACGAAAGTATAGATGTCGTCCTAGCGTCTGCCAGCGTCCACCAGCGACCACCACTGACCAGCAGCGTCCGAGAGTGGAGTGTAAGGCGCGATAAGAGGTTCGAAGACAGCTGCAGAGTATGGCGCTACAAGAGGGTAGCGACATCATCCTATCGCCCCATACTCTCTACCAGCAGTCTGCTGCTGGTTTTCTACCAGCACTCTACTGGTGGTAGCTGGTGGACGCTGGCAGACGCTAGATCGATACCTTTGCTTCCCTAGCCCTCGAGACGCTGCTGGTCGGTCGTTGACGCTTTCAGACGATGAGAGACTAGATCGATACCTATATTTTCTTAGACGGGACGCTGACGGATGCTAGGAACGCTGGTGGGCGCTGCCGCAAAGTATGAACGCAGTTTGATGGGTTATCACGCAGACTCACCTATGCTCATAAGCACAGCTGCAAATAAATCTAACCATCCATATCGTTTCCCTTGTATAAGTATTCCACCAATCAGAACCGGGCACAAGCTTACAACATTTAAAGATTACCTGTAACAGTACATTGACTAGTTCAGATTTCCCTATTAGATCTTTTTTGAAAAGATGAGTCTCGCATCATGAAGCAATCCCCTTCGAAAAGCCAGGGGAAAAAGAAGGGTTTCACTTGCGCAGATTCAAGCGCGCAAGAAAAGTCGCTTCGGCACCAGGAGGCAAGCAGTGGAACCTATAGTGGAAATTTGAATTTATTTATTTATTTATTTGCCATGTCAATATTTTACAATATGTGGCACCTCATTAGATCAATCCATTCCTTCTTCGTCATGCATCTTGCCGCATTTTGCCAATTGCACGTAATCAGCACTTTCTTAAACTCATCTCTCCATCGGGATTTCGGTCGTCCAATCCGTCTTCGCAAATATGGGTGCCACACTTGTTTCTACTTGAACGAGCCATTTCCCAGGCGTAACTCCACTTCCTTTCTAAGGCTTTCTCCACCACATCCTTAACTTTCGTCACCCCACGTAACCAGGCATTTGTCTTATGATCCAGAAGACGTACTCCTACCATGCGACGCTCCATCTTTCTTTGTGCACGTATGAGTCTGTCTTTCATTGTTCTTGTTAACACCCATGTTTCGGAGCCATATAGCATAGCAGGCAATACGCACATGTCGAACAGTCGACGTTTCCATTTCATTTCCACGCTTCTCGATGTGAAAAATTCCTTGTATCGCAGAAATCTTCCCCAACCGATGTCGTGTGATCTCTCCGGAAAAATCATGATACAGAGAAATTTCTTGTCCGAGATAGGTGAATGTCTGCACTTGGTCTAGCTGAACATTCCCTATAGAAGATCGTTGCCGTTGTTCTTGCCATTATCTTTATTTTGCAGAATTTATTTTTAGCCCACAACATCTAGAGTTTTTGTCGAGAAAACCTGATAGAAATGTCAAATTAGCTGTAAAATTTAATCGTATTTTTGGATTATTCAGCATTCTGATTTGATGGTTTGCTTTTGTCTGAAGGATAGAACTCTATGTGACTTTTCACTTCTCACTGTCAGCCATTTCCACTTTAAACATTGTTCTGCAAGACAAAATAGGTGCTGGTAAGATGTAGACAAGAAATAGGAGGAAAAAATATGGACGTAGGGAAACTCAGCGTTCGTTAAGGAAGCGCAACTTTTTGCAGCAGTTCAGCAAAATAACAGTGTTCACCTTGTCTCGCACATATCGTTCGCACCCTAGTGCTAGTGCCAGCCACACCCCGCCTCTACCTCTCCACATCACCTACCTTCGCGGCGCTAGCACCGCTTCGAACGTAATGCACCCCCAAAAAAATCAAGCACCGTAAGCGTCTGAAGTTACAAAAAGGTGCAAGACATCCATAGTGTACAAACCTGTGTGGGATAGTTGAGGTATCCAACAGATGCATTCGAAAGACCCATGGTTGCTACCGTGAAAAACGCCAATAGAAAAGTAGATTCTTAGAGGGATTCTGAAGTGGAAATAGAATTATCAAAAATGAAAACTAAAAACAAGAGGATTTTTCTTCACCTTCGCACCGTATCATGATACAGTGATCCTTCTGCCCAACCACAAACACTATATATGATGAATTGAAACAATGTTAGATACATGCCGTAAGGTTTCATGCCAGGCAACTTGAAGATGAGCTCCTATGAAGGGCACGAATTCATTCCAGACTCACTGGTTCTCTATGGATAGATTGTGACTGTTCACGGGGCGTACAGTCGATAAGACGACGAAGCAACGATCTTTCAGGGGGCGTGGAGTGGGGCTCAGCTACGGTTTCTAGTTGCTGGCCTGAATCTGAAATATTGGCAGGGAACACGGCCATCGCTGAGCTCCGACCCACGCCCCTTGACAAGCTCTACCGCTTCCCCGCTTTGTGGACTGTAAAGATCCGAAAATCTAACACTGAAAAATTTCAACTGTGAAAAGTATACATCTGTTGTTCTATAGGGAAACTGAAAGAGAATGGGGAACATTCAAGCAGTTGTTGACTAAACATG